TTTTTTTTTTTTTTTTTTTTTTTTTTTTTTTGCCAGACGGTTAATATCTGCAGACCCCAGAATCTCAATGCCAATTTGGCAAACAAGAGCCCTTTGTGTCTTTGACGGTGAGGCCTGTCTGGCATTTGGAGCATTGATTTTGTTTGGTCTCTTCACTGCAGGAGGATTCGGTAGGTGGCTATTTGGGGCCCCTAAAATATCACTGAGGCTCTTGAGGATCATTCAAAGGAGATGAGCCCGTCATCGAAAATGAATTTTATGGAACATTTGCACTTGTAAGCTCCCTGCAAAAAACACCCCTGTTGTGTGTTGCCTTCTATACTCTGAGTATTAAGGGACAGGATAGGAGAAAGGGGCAAAAGGGGCCCGGGGGGGGTGGAGGTCCTGGATCATCTACTTCATCTGCACTTTTTTGTGTGACACTGTGCATCCTGTGTGTACACTGTGTACTATTTGTTTGCACATTTTAAATGTCATTCAAGGAAAACACACTTTCATTAAGTTTCCTACCATCACTCTCTGGATTACTACGGGTAGTACGGTCTTCATCGGAATAGAACGGCCGGTCATTATACCTGTATTTGGCCCAGTTTCCAGCCCAGATGCATAGATAACGACCCTGGGTTCTCTTCGGGTGAAGACGGTTAGCCTTACAAGTTATAACCAGCACTGTCAGTTGAGCTGCAGAGGGCAAAAAGAGCGGGTTGGCAATGGAGGAAGAAGTTCCAGAATATCATGGTTGTAAGGGCCAGATCCCACTGGCAAAGAGGATTGGAATGAGTGTCTGAATCTGGACGTGTTTGTGGCGAGGTGCAGAAAACTGTGATTGATCTGCTTTTCTGCATCTCTGGGTGGCACACGTCCAGATTCAGACACTTATTCCAATCGTCCTTGCTAGTGGGATCTGACCCTAAGTTGTAACAAGTTACAAACAACCTGTATTTTTTTAATATCTAAAAAATATATATATATTAATTTTTATTATTATTAATTTTCTTTTAATGAACTTGTATCAGGATCTCAAGATGAAGTATGGAGTTCTGTGGATTAGAACTAGCTTAATATGCAAAAAGCAGCAGTTGAGCCAGATTCGGAGTTGGACGAAGTGGGAGGCGGCGCCCGAGCGCTCTAGTCCCGCGACGCGTGCGCTACAGTGTTAGGTTTTCGATCAACGCGGAGTTCGCTCGCCACGCCCCGGAGCGCTCAGCACGGGGACGGCGTGTCGCATAGCTGTCGAGCTTCTGTGTGAGCTCGAACAATAGCGGCGTGGACTTGTCCAAGGAGAGGGGAGGGCAGGTGGGTTGTATCGGGCGGAGGTCTCACCATTGCGCAAAGAAGTTTGAACTTACGAACCGAAGAACGCCGTGACGAGGCGTGCTTCCCATGGAATCTTACTCCTCGATGAGGAGTATCGGGCGGTGGAGGAAGCAGTAGCAGAAGGTGTAGGGCGGTTGTGCTGCCGTTCCCGCGCCTATGCCGTGACGAGGCGTGCCTCCTATGAGGAGTATCGGGCGTTGGAGGAAGCAGTAGCAGAAGGTGTAGGGCGGTTGTGCTGCCGTCCCCGTGCCTTTTGGCGGCCTATTGGCGGCATATTGGCGGCTGGGCTGGAACGAGCAGTTCCGGGCGGTTTCCCAGCGAATGGCCGCCTTTACGTGTTTCAGCTGCCGGTGCATCGGAACATGAAAGCGAAGAAGAGGTAATGCCCCTTCTCTGTCAACCTGAGTCTTTCTCTTTCGGCAATCGCGGTACTTGGCCAGTGTCTTGAGCTTGGTTCAGCAAAATTTCCCTCACCCTTCTTTTCCTTGCATTTGGCTCTGTCGAATCGTCCCGATCAGGATACAACGTCTGGACTTCCTTTAGTTTTTTTCTAGTCGAGGCAATAGGTCCGTCAGTGCTCTATTTGTCGATTGTTCCCCCGTTCATTGGCGGTGGGCTTGAAATCTGGGTTCTGGGCCGTCGGATATATAACAATATTCTTCTTAGAAAGGGGGTGTCATTACGGACTTAGGGCGTCGCTGCACTATGTGCTAAACGAGCGTGAATCTTCCACTAGAATATGGAAAGATACGTGGCCATGATTTTTGTCTTTTGTGCATGTCAAGGGTAGTGCAGCGAGCCCCTTAGTGGCGGCGGAGCTGAGAGAGATGGGGACTGGGTCCTCGGCTTGGTCCACTGCAACCTCCCGTAATGCTCTGGAAGCATTTTGTTTTTGTTGTTTTCTTCTTTTTGTCTTATCAATTTTGCCTTGTCAGTTCTCTCCCGGCCAGGATAAGGGACAGTGACTTAGGGTTGATTCATTGCACCGTTTTTTAACTTCTGGATGTACTTTTCTTCGTTTTGGAAATACCCCACTTTGCTCTGTTGGTTCTTTCCCGATCAGGATGCACCACCTGCACAGTCCTTAGGTTGTTCTATTCGGAGCTATAGATTCGGTCAGTGGTCTTGTTATCCTCTCCTCTTCTTATCGGCCTCTACTCTGTGGAGGCACTCCTGCTCTCCCACTGGATAACCCATAACCGCGTGGTCCGAGGTATCTGGGCCGTCGGTGAACAACGGTTTTTAGAAAGGGGGTGTCATCATGCTAGTTCTGGATGTACTTTTCTTCGTTTTGGACTAGACTAAGGGCGTAGAAGCACTACTCTTGAAATGTGCAAAACGAGAGTGAATCTTCCGCTAGAATATGGAAAGATACGTGGCCATGATTTTTGTCTTTTGTGCATGTCAAGAGTGGTGCAGCGAGCCCCGAAGTAAGTAGGGGGAGCTTCCTTTTCTCTCCATCCATTTGCCACGGATTAGATAGTATTACGAGTGAGTAGTCCTAGATGGTTGGTGGAAACGAACTCTAACGCGACAAGCAACTGGCGAGATTTCCCATCACCGCTCGGCAGGAGGCTGGGTTTCTCTGTACGGCGGAGGAGGTAATGCCCTATTCTCCCAACTCATCCCCGTCGGAGGGTAGTGTGGTGTTTTGTCAGGTTATTAGGGCATTGGATTCGTTTCGCCCGGCTTTCTCATCGTTTCGTTTTTCTTTTTTTCTTTTTTCTCTCCATTCCTTCGTTTTTTTCGTTCCCTCATTTTCTCTGGGCCACGCGAGACGTTTCTGTTCTTACGAATAGTAAAAAACAGCTGTACTTTGCCTTTTGTTCTGTCCGTGTTGGTATAGCTAGAGTTCCGCATTCGGTCTTTGTACCCATTGGTTGTCGGGGACCTGGCTTCGCCCAGAAGCTCAGGTTAACATCCGCTGGAAAACCGCAGTCTTGTGAGGGGTCTTCACCCCTCTAACACTACCCACGGTGTGTGTGGCCATCTCACCTGCCTCATCAGTAGATGGTTTTGCTCCGAGAGGTGTCTTCTACTCCCTTGCGGAGAGACAGCCGGTATAGTTTTAGTTGGTTGTGAGAAATCTTGTCTCTCGGTTTTTGGCAACCTGATATGTTAATCCATTGTTTTCCCTCTTGTCGGCTGATTCCGTCCTATACGTCATAAATACATCCGAGATAATTGCTAAAAAATAAAAGAACGGATAGGTGTGGTTCTCGCCTCTTAGTACTCTCCTCTCTCAAATATCGTTCTAACAAGGGGGCCCGCTGACTAGACTAAGTAGGAGGTGCTCCTCCCTACTCATACTATCTGGTCCTCCACTAGAGAGGGGCCTCAGCGGGGGCAGCTGATGGCACGGTAGGTGGAAGTAGATGTAATAAGCAGCCGGACCTGGTCTCTGGACTTCGTTCCAGAACTCCCTGGGGCAGCCGGTCTTCGTTAGCCGGATCGAAGGTCCAGCTCTAAAACAGCGAATAGGGTCTGCATCCCAGCCGAGACAGAACGACCTTGTGTTCACAAGAGACGAGCCATTCATTGGCTTAACATCTTCGGTGGCAGGTTTACGGTCTTGTTGGATCCAGCGCCGACGCTAATCCTTTGGGAAAGCTGGGCGTATGCAAGCCGGAGTCCCAGCAAGCTGGACTTCCAGCAAAGGCGGTTTTTTTTTTTTTTTTTTTTTTTTTCAAATAGTTTATTTCAATCACTCATGTTCGAGTATATCTTACTCCCAGCATCCCATCGCCTGTCCCATCTGCTACTTTCTTGATAGAGGTTTGGCCGACTAAGGTTGTATGGTTATGACCAGTCCCCACATCCATCTACGTATCCGGAACGTCCCTGGACATAGGTAACCAACTGCTATCGCCCCGCCAACTCCCTCGGTGGTGTTTAACGGGTACGATAGTAGAGCGCGAACCCAAGGACTCCCATATCCTTTTCTATCGTGGTGGTCACTACAGCGGGGCCTTCTGTTTAGATACCCCCTTTTTTTTTTCCTTTTTTTTTTTCCGTCACAAAACCTCCCCACGCAAAAGACAGAGTGGTGGAGCCCGAATTCGCTCTTACTGATTCAGCGTTTATAGTAACATGCACCAAGCACAGGACACAGAAATGGATCTCCAAACTCCTCCGGATGGGAAACAAACCCAGATGATGGCGGGGGGAGAAGAGTTGCAGTCCGGAATTGGGTCAGGCAGCGGAGGGGGGGACCCATCCCCCACCCAAACACAGGGGATGCCTTGGTCTGGCTTTGCCCTCTTCTGGGCTAATAGACCACGGGGTACCGGGGAACCTCTTAGTGAAACAGGACGTCGGGTAAACTCTTCCAAAGGAAAGGAAAGCGGGTGGGAAGGGAGGGGCAATCAGGAGAGGGGAAGCCGGGGGGGGAATGTGAGGGGGGAAGGGGGTAGGAGCGCTCTAGGAGCCATGAGCGCAGGAAGAGGAGACAGAGGCAAGGGGGGTAGGGGAAGGGGGGAAGGAGGAGGCTATGGAAGAGGAGGTTTTGAACGCCAACCCACCTCGGGGAGAGTAGATTGGTTCCCTGTGGAAGAGAACGATTCCGGCAGTGACGAGGAGGATCATGAAGGAATGGAAGGCAAGGTTAATGGAGGGGGCTCGTCCAGTAGCTGCAATGAGGTGGAAGAGATCAGGAAGATGTTAGACAAATGCTTCGACCGCATGGTGATCCCGGATATGTCCAAATTTGCCAAGTTTGAAAAAAAGAGGAACACAGTTACCATGACAGTCCCCCCAGCGGTCGAAGAGGTGCAGGTGGGATGGATGAAAGATAACGTTGTTGTAGTCTTTTCCAGGGTAACTTCAAGTCGGTATCAGCGGATAGGAAGGAACAATGCATTAGGGGATTTGAGGACTCCATCCTCCCGCAAAGCCTCCGCCACAAAGAGAGAGGCAGGGTTCACCAGGAAGGCCGTAATGCCATGTCATACTTCCCGAGGGATAAGCAACTCATTGAAATGATGCTTAACATGAAGAGTCACAAAATTAAAATTGACAACACCACATACAAAATGATGTTCAAAAAATGGATGTCCGCAGCAGAGCTGGAGGCCCGCCACATCAGAAGAAGAGGTAAGTAAAATCTGGATCATGGCGTTGCGAGTTCCCTGGCTGGCAGCTCCCTTCGTGCGCTCACAGCTTGAGTACTCAGTGGGGAAATTTGTCAAACAACACCCACCGGAGCGGTATGATGAATGTCCCAAACTTAACAACCCGAAATTCGATATCCCACAGGACAGGAAAGACCGAGTGCCAACCCAGATCCTTACAATCACAAACAGTAAAAACGACCTATCGTCTATTGAGGCCAAGAGTGGATATTTATGCAATTCTTTGGGAAAGATGGGCTAGACACCTTAATTTGGATATAAACCTAATTAAAAACATAATTTTTTTAAATAAAATCAGACAGCGCCCAGCTAAATTCTCATAATTGCAGTGGCAAATTGCTCATCGATGTTTGCCAACTAATGATTGGATCATAGACCGCTTATATTTGAAACACAAGGGGTTGGCTCTTCCTTGGTGTAAATCATGTATATCGAACTTTGCTAGTAGAAGATGTAGGGAAACTATTGAACATATTTTTATGCAATGTCCTGGGTCGGTTCTACTATGGAGGAGATGGGACTATGTTTGGAGGGTGATCACTGGGTTGGATTGGCCCTGGGAATGGAAAGCCATCTTGCTAGGACATTGGTGTCCACAAGATATCACACTGACTGCTTTTCAATCTAATTTTTTTGRAATTGGTAGAAAAGCGGTCGTTTGGGTTCTATGGTRCAAACGGTGTGTCCTGGAAAGGGAGAATGTAGTATTGGAGGGATCCGAGATTTCTGAACATATTGTTCATTTTATACAAACAGAAATCAGAGCCTATTGGCAGGGGCTATGTTCTAAATTATATAAATTACAAAAGAAAAAGGATATCCAACTTTTAATTCAGGAATTTGTGGT